TTTAATGGGCACGGCAAAGGAACGAAATACACTACCGACATTTCACAAAAACAACAATTTACAACTACAATCATAAAACTAATGAAGGCAAGAGTGAATAGGCACTACTTTAGCAAACGCGTACTGTCGGCCGCTGTGACAGTGGTCGCTTAACATCAAGTGAGATTGACGAGTGGTTTCTCGTTTTAGTGTAAATTAATAAACTTTTTGTTGTTTGTAAGAAAAGTGCACAAAGCCTTCAGTATTGAACTTCCACGATAGACAGTCAGCAAGCAGAAGCGCTTGCGCGGGCGCGGCCGGTGGCGATAACGGCGTCGGCGGTGCGCGTGCGGCGACAGCTGCGCGCGCAGATGTGTCGCTAGCCGGGGAAAAACGCTCAGCTGGACGAAGGTTAATGTTACTGACGTGAACCGGCAGCTCGGCTTTTGAACTTAGGGACGCGCAGGAAAGGTGCTCTTAATAATAGCTATTCATATTATAATAACAACAAAGCGAAGGTCTACATAACTAAAGCGGGGACAAAACCTGTACAGAGATTACCAGTTTTCTGTATTTATATATACGTATATGTATTTTATGACGAAGTTGGACCCGCAAGGAAATTAATGGGAAGGTCTTTCACCTATCCCCACTACCAGTAACATAAGCGACTCCACCCGGAATAAAATCTATAGTCACGGACAGCGCCAACACAAATTGAATAATTTCAGAATATACTATTGTGCAATGTCAAAAATGGATTATATAATGTATGTATTCTTTGATGACGTTTATTTCCTTTTGGTATTGTCCGTCTCAGATAATAATGGGACGGGCTTAAATGGCAACATTAGTCAATAGTAATTTGTGTGATGTTGACGGTACCATAACTGGTAGTAGTACGAAGTACTATAATATTAGGGTAGTAAAAAATTTAGCCCACGTTATAGATCTTTTCGTTCGCAAGATGATAATGGGATTTTTATTGTGCACTTGTCGCCCATTGGGCTTGTTTTATACCTGGTATTCACTGGGTTTTGATTTGTTTTACTGGATATTTCTATTTCTTTATATAGTAACTACTGTGCTGCTGTGCGCCGTATGATCAAAACAGACAGGCATGTGACATAACATGAGATTCGGGTATCTTTAGGCATAGGCATGAGTCAAATACACTCATTACTACACAAACATTTGGGTGTGAAAAATCTGTGCTCTCGGTGGATCTCACACAATTTGACTGAGGTTCAAAAAATGGATCGCGTCTCTTGGTGCTATGCCATGCTTACCAGATTCGACGAAGGGGCGTCAAATTTGGTGTGGAATATAGTAACTGGTGACAAAACATGGATTTATAGTTACGATCCCAAAACAAAGCAGCAATCGAGCGTATGGGTCTTTCGAGATGAGCCGAAACCAGCAAAAGTGGCGCGCGTGCAAAGTGTCTCTAAGCGGATGACTGCTTCTTTTTTTTAATAAAACTAGACTCGTGGCTACTGTTGCTGTTGGAGAATCGTTGTACCGTGAATAGAGATTGGTACACGACCATTTGTTTGCTGGAAGTTATTGACAAACTCCGTAAAAATATATCATCTTGCACCACGATAATGCCAGTTCTCACACGAATTCTCAGACAAATAAATTTTTGAAGGTGAACAACGTTGACGTTATAAGCCATCTCGCGTACAGTCCCGACCTGGCACCTTGTGACTTTTATTTATTTTCAAAAATTAAGAACCAGGTACGCGGTCAACGATTTTCATCACCTGAAGAGGCTGTCGAAGAGTATGAAAAATATGTTTCAGAGATTGTCACGGAGGAGTGGCATAAAATGTTTTCAAAATTGGTTCATTCGTATGAAAAAGTGCATTAACGCTAACGAAGAATATTTTGAGAAACAATAAATTCATTTCTGATCATTTATAGTATTTTTTCTTATTCATTCCGGAAACTTATAGTGCGCCACACGTACAGCATGCCTAATGGTGTAATAGCCTTAGATGATACCAATGTGCAGCAGTGGCATGTACGTGTTTTGCACTTAATACTATGGCGAGATATGATGTACAGTTTTTTGCTCTATTGAAAGGAGGCGTGACACGTTTAGGTCTATTGTAAAGCCTAAAGGCAGGTGCGACGCAATTATGAACACTGCAAAGGTCGAACGAAGACCCCGAGGTTGAAAACAAAGTAACGGTACCTCAAATGCTGTACCCGTATTATAATTATTATACTTTTATATGTTAGATATTTAACACGTGTTACGAAATTTATATAAAAAAAGAACTAAGGGATACGAGTATAATAAAGGAGAATCAAGACGAATAGGTCTCTACTTGTACGATTTTAGCTTTATTACGATTGGTAACAAAATGGTCCCGAGTTGTAGTTATTGCGAACCCACATAAGGCAGAGGGTAAACCATCATTGGATTTGTTCAGTGGAATAGAATGTTGAATGCTGAAACTTATTAGGCAACTTGTACTAGATAATAAACTAAGCCTCATTACTATCCCTACATAGATTTCAATATATTTAGATGCGTCATTGTCACTATTCAATCCACATTTGTCGGAATGATTCCACGGGAAAGGCATTGTCAATAACATGTTTATTCATTTTCTGTTTATTTATCGATTGCGTGATTCTCCACAGAATAAAAAAATACAATATTTACTGAAATGAAACAAACGAATAACATAAGGCTAGAGTAAATTGTTGGAATTGGGTCATGTGACAGATGACCGAAAAGCGGTGTTCCTTTTTGTGGCTAAGGCAACGTGTTACCATCCTTGAGTATTCCATGGAGTCAAGACGGACTAGATATAACACGATAGATTGTTCTCTTGTAGTAAAAACTGCTGCCATCATCAAGTGTGAGAAGAAATTCAACTGGTTAAGAACGCTCTGTGTGTCGAAGTGATTCATATTTCGACAATAGTGAATCGCTTAATACGTACATGTGAGAGATATTTCCGCGTTCCACATATAAGTTGCGTAAAATACATTACCAAGTTAAGAAGTGAACTTACTTTGTCGTACAACTTCAAGAGATCTACGCAGTAACTTTTCAGTTCCTATAAATCGAGTCTATCATTTTGTAAGTGCAAATTAATTAACCCATAAAAAGCTGAATGATAGGTATATATATCTACATACCTACATCACATCAAATTAAACGAACATATTTTTTATTAATACTCCAAAACAATTTTCCTACAATCCTCTATGCTCGATAGGATATGCTTTTAAGTTTTTCTTCGTCTGTTACGCGAGTAGCGATGAGGTGACGGAGACAGTCGGGCGTTTTTGTTGTTCACGGGATGCGACCCATCCGGTAGTAGATTGATCGCACTTGACGTTTGAACGAAGCCTTACGACTTAGACGCGTTATTTGTGTCTCAGAATGAAACAGGGAACTGGCAACCTGAGACTGTGTTGCTAACGGTTGCCGAGGAGTTCAGGAAAGATGGCAGGTATTCGGCTAGATTAGTGGCACTGCAGACAGACAGCTTTTCTTTTGGAAGATTATAGTGTTTTAGAGCTTCTAGAGCGTTTAGAGAGCATTAGAGCTATTGAATGAAAATAAAGAGGCGACATTGTATAGGTAACGTCGTTGTTACTTTATGTTTCGTTCTTAATAATTACCTTAAATGAGAGTCTAATAAACTCGAATCCAATAAGCAATATCTTTTCTATTGGATGCATTATTTTACAGATCGGAGCAAGCGCAAATTCGATTTTCATTGAGAATCCAATAAACGTTTCGCACGAGAAAGCTATCAAAATTTCAACGCCGAACGAACACACAGAGCGCGTTATCAGCGGTGTGACGTGGCTACGCCGCGCCGGCGCACCTCGCCGCGCCGCTTATCGCGCACCACAACATGTGCGAAAAAGTCCGGAAAGATACCATCAGTGTACCTAACATGCCTATTCCAGCTAAATAATTTGTAACTACTCTTGTTGGAAGTGAATTCTGCCGATTCCAAATTGTTACTATTTACCAAACACATTTTCTTTTAGCGATTAAATGTTACTTGAACTTCATTGTCAAAATCATCCATTTTCTCCTTTTCAAACGTCACTTTCATTACCGGTAAGGTGTATATTTATAGATAATAGAGTTCCTATTTGGGTGACGTATTGTTTTTACCGCTTTCAGATAAGATATATAAGCATTGCTACTCACGTAAAACTCTCGAGTACTTTCTATTGAATCAATGTCAACGACATTCGAGAGGGATTACATTATAGAGCCTATCAAATATTATGGGATTCATTAGAGTCAATAAACCTCAGTGTTATCATATCTATAGGCAATAAAGGTCGATAGAGACGATAACACTGGAAGGCATCAGAGCGGCGCGGGCGCGTCCATCCGCTGACAAATACACAGGAACAGATTTGTAAATAATTAACCGAAACCAATCCCGTGTTATGAAAAAGCGAGCACCAAAACCGGCCACTCGATATCCAGCCGGTGTAGACCATTGTTTGTATTTACAAGTACTTTCGGTAATTAGTTGTGCAATCATTCTTTCCACTCGAGCACATTCAGCAAGTGACAAAGCGTCGTCTTTTGTGTCAACAATTTCTTTGTCTTTTACTTGTATCGAATGCTTTATTGCATGTGGAGCCCTTTCATCATCGAAATGAGCTGCATCGGTAATTCTTGCGATTGCATCGTTCGTCCGTTTTGGTCGGCGTTCGTAATTTACTGCCCCGTCGACACGAGCGTGATGGCTGGGTTTTTGGCGCGAGTCAGGTGTCGCGAGTAAACAGATACAGCGTTCCCGGATGACCCTCGGGTTAAGGCTGGGATCGGTGGCGGTGCGAACATTCGCGGCACGTCCTTTGTTAGCCGTTTTGTTTTGGAGTACCATCCGGTTCCTGGTGGTGGGGCGGCGGGGACAGGTGGGCGCAGGTAGCGCGCGCGGCGGCAGCCAGTCCACCTCGGCGCGTTGAGCTGCGCGCGCGCCTCGTTCGTTTAAATACACTCAAATATGGAAATGGCAACTCAGCCCGCGACAGGTGCGCGGCCGCGGCATTCGTGCACGTGTACTATTTGTGAGTGCGCTGATGCTGCGTCCTCCTCATCGGCCCCGACTCGCCGGTAAGTCTTTTCCATATTAATACGGTGAAGTTTTGAACTTTGGAACTGGCTGGCGCGGTTTTGTCGTTTCTGTAATAACAGCGTCGGTTTGCTCACGCGCATCTGTCGTTCCGTTTCGGTGCAGCTGCTAGCGGTTGAATAGGTAGGTATAATATGATATTTATTTCTTGTCGTCTTCAAGGGAATGGAGTCTTCCTTGCCGCGTGTGGTCTAAGTAAGGGCTCTAACACAATTAGTGTGTGAAGCCGGCCGGTTCACACGGTGTCGATGGCGGTGTTTTGCGTGTTGCTGTTGCCTGGGTAAATATTGGCTCGATACCGTCCACGGCCGCCGCCCGCGCCGCCGCGCCGCTCTCGCTGCTTGTAAACGTACTGTTATCGATTCCACGCATGCGTCACATTCGATGGTTATCTTTGCCGGATCTGGGTCATTGTTCTTTTGTTTTTCGTCTGTTGAGGCTTGATAACGTTTTCAACAATTTGTTTTCTTTTCTCAATCAAGTTTTGCATTAAGATTTTCCATGTAACGTTCATTTGTAGAACTCTACAAATTGCATGTGTGGCAAAATTGTATGTGGAGTCAGAATTGGAGTAGTCGTGTCACGTGTTCCGACATAAATTTGATTGTAATGACCGCGTGGGGTACACGTACAAGTCGCATTATTACAAGACAAAACTAACAAAAACTCGTCGGTCGCCGGCGAATAGGCACCGTCTCGTAATAGTGTTGTAACAAGCATCTGGTAATCACTACGCCCCGACACTGAAGATAATTTTCGTATACTTACATAAGATTGTAACACAAGAACCTTGACTAAGTGCGAAATGAATTTGTAAGATTGTGAGAAGAAATATGCAATAAACATCGGGACATTTTCCCAGGCAACATTTTTGTCTAGTATCATTTTAAACCGTTTAAGAAAACTAGACGGCTAGAGGCAAAATTGCTCCCGAATCGTAGCCAATTGATTTTAACGTGTGAAGAAACGAATCATCAAAATTTAATCGATTCGAAGTTCCTAATATTACGACACGAACGGTTGGAGCCGACACTATTAATTTAAAAATGTTTAGAGAATTACCATGCCAAGTATTACTAATTTTAAATGGGAACTCTTTGAAGACACCCAAACATAAGAAATTAGAACTACTTTTAGTGTTTCAATCTACCCAAACAACCTAATTAGATATCTCTGACCAATTAAAGACAAACATGATTTGAATCTAACAATGATTATATCTATATCGAAGTGACGGATTAATATAATAAAATTAAGTATAAAGCACAAAAGGCGCTGGTTCAATTTAAGGTAAATCTAAACACACATGGGGTTTAGATTTCAATGAATATAGGGCAGTAAAGTAAAATATTCTTTAATTTTGGCGATCACAATATGAATACAATACTGACAGTTCTTTTGTATTGGTTTCAACACACGGAGGTACGTCCAGTTATAAAATCGTTTCGTGGGACATGTCTTTTACTTGCTGACTTGAGACTCGAACGAAAGGTAAAGAGATGTTATTTCACTAGATTTCATGCCGCCTTCCGAAAGTGCCGCATCCAACCACAGCAGGGCTGGTTTATACTCGTGAGGCTCAGCTATTATAGTGGACTGAATAGGCAGGTTTTTTCTGCGCCCGCGCCGCTCCGTCGCGCACGGCGCACGGCTCGCCTCCGTGACCGCGCGAAATTTAGCTCTGACTCTATTTCATTACAATTTATCATTGCGTTTTCCTTAATTTCAGTATTATCTACGTTCCTGCGGACAGTTGTAGGCTTTGTTTCGAAAATTACAGATTTTTTTTTACATTTCAATGCTATTCGCTCGATATTCCAATCGTTATCTTATCTCGATTGCAAGTACTTGCCACAGATTTGCGTTTATAGTGACGAAAATAAGATATTTGTTTATTCAGTTGCGCTAGTAAATTCTATGAAAAATAATTGCAATGCACCTCTTAGTATGTCATCGTCTACTTAAAACAGACAATGCTTTTCATTATATAGGTATTTGTATGTACATACTGAGATTTATGTGAGTACAACATTCTTCCTTCTATTAATTTGCCAAATACAATACAATAATTGTCTTAGAAAACAATTATGGCAAACTCAGCTCCAAGACTATTGAATGGTCGTTTCCAGTAGAGGGCACAGCTGTCGTATTTGACATTTTTCTTATATTTGAGTAAGACGTACGACCTTAGTTAGCTTTCGAAAGGGAACATTCTCCTCTAATCATAGCACGTCTATGTTTTTCTATATGAATGTAATTCATTGACAGAACGGTATTGATCCGAGCTAGAGCATAATGATGTAAAGTGGTGCCGAAAATACTACACCCTAACAATTTTGCTTCACGTCGATTATGACAGCTGGCCAGGAGGGAGACGATGTTATACGGAAGGAAAGAATATTCGTGGGAAAATTCAAACGTACTTCCGGCAGCAAAACAGCAATGTCTCCGTCTCCAGCTAATAAGAATATAATTTTTTGGTCACTGTTAGTAGTGTGCACCAATTTTCACGTCTGTTCATTAATTTTTATCATGAATGATGAAAATAATGTTGAGAAATGAAATTTGCTGGGGGTGCTCCAATTCGGTCGGGTATACACATACAACGTGACAAAGTTCTGTTTAAAACTGTATCTTATTCCATTTACACATTGTTCAAGGTTATATTTTCAAAAACTATAACGTCACAGGACTGAGGAATTCATTGTCAAGGCGCCGCGACCGCAGCCGTGTGTGTCACCCCTTTTAATACATTCATGACATGTATGAGCGCCCTAAACAGCTACAAAATACTCGACGACATTTTTACGCATTCTTTGGTCTATTTATTTTTATCTATGACTTACCTATAAGTGGAAAAGTTTAAAACTAGGTTCGTTGTCGTACGGTGTGTGTACTAATATTGTACTTATTATAGTCTCTATATTTGTTTTTCATCACTACTTAAGACTTGACATTTCCATTGCACTTTATACTCAAATAACATCATAAATTTAAAAAGATGAACTCTGGTCTAGAATTGCAAATAGCGATAAAAGAAAAACGATCGTGAATAGAATGCTTACGAGTGCTTTTATAATAGCCCGCTATTGGAAGAGATGATTCGAAAGTCTATCGATAGCTTGAACTCATCACGTTTGACGTTCGAAGAATCTTGGTTAAAGGAACAGTGCTTTTGTATAAAGGAGGTTATTGCTATCGAAATATGGAAAGCATGTGGCGTGGTTATTATAGCATTTTGTGGCATTATTTGTATATTTTCGTCAAAGCAGTTAAAACTTTGTATATAGCGCCGAGTTGATTTTTTTTCCCCAAGATGTAAATCGACCTTCAGGGATGGTAAGATTGCCGAATAATAATAATAATGACGCGGATACACTCATAGCCCCGCACTAAGGATAACCCTGTAACGCGTTGTGTATATATAAACACAAATTACACCTTAACTCGCGAGAGAAATAAATGTAAGTTAAATATATCTCCCGGCCCCGGAATCGAACCCGGGACCTCTGCGTGGCAGTCCAGCATGGTAACCGTTCGGCCACAGACACAATTGAAAAATCTATACAGAGCTAAAGATTTATACGCACTGAGCTAAATAGAGGGAAATCACGCTACTACATTCCTAAATGATTGCTATGGTCTTCGTCAGGTCCCATCACATCTGAAATAAGAATTCGAAAATCAGAATAGATATATGATTGGTGGGGTTTTGAAGATGTTAAACTAAAGCACTCAATGTAGTAAATGGAGATGACGAGGCTTCAATCGGCGTAGCACCCGTTCTATAGGGAGCTGCGCAGGCGCAGCGGTCACGCGCCCGGAACGAATCGCCGGAGATAAGCCTCCGCTCGATCTTCTGTCATGATTTGACAGTCTGTCGATGACCTCACCTCATTGTCGCGCTGAACACGTTCCTAAGGGTCATTTTACATAGAGTTGTAAAATAGGGCAAACTTATTTTTAGACATAGTGTCCTGTATGCATGTTTTTGCGAGTTTGTCTTGACCAACTACGTTTATTATAGAGTTAAATTGTTACACTTTTGTAGATTTCGATTAGTCACTAAGCTTGTGAAGAGTTGAACCATCATCCTTTATACACGAGAATGCCGTTAGTGTTGCATTTGAAATATCCTATTACTAAGATCTTAAATTATGCTTCGAGACGTTGAGGTTTAATTTCAGTTAAAACGGTATTATTTGCAGGTTAACTGCTCGCGGACTTTATTATAGTATTGCCGCTTAGGTTTTTGTGAACTGACTGTCATGAAGTTATAATCAGATATCGGAACAGGCGGAGTATCTGTACCTATATTTTAAGTAATCCACGTAGAGTTGATAAATACCTCCCTCTGAAATCACGGAATGATTTAAAATCAAAAGGCGAAACATCAAAACAAAATTATATTTAGGGAATGAAACTACTTTTCAGATGACTCAACCGTGACCAAGGGATCCATAAAGGGCCCGAAATGTTGGTTTCTTTGAAAAACACAAATGTACGCAATTTGAATCCGGAAAAATAGTTTCATTTCCTAAGTGTAACAATCGCGAAAACCTAAGAACTCGATAAAATTATATTTTTACCGTACCCTACCGTAGTAAAGTAATTGCTAGTTACAAGGAAAATATTCCAGGGTTTTAGACGGAAGTATTACTCCGTCTGTGTATGTATTACTTCGTTCAAGTTTAGGTAGTTGCCTATTACGATCTCTAGTTATAATAAATGCGCTGTATTTCACACTATAGGTACCTATATGAGGTACGAGTTGAAAAATAGACGCTGAAGCACGATAGTAACTTGTTGAGACACGCAAGGAGGCGGGGCATTAGAAATGAGTCTACCCATAGATAACTACGGTGCCCTCGTAACCTTTTGCCGAAACAAATGTGCGCCAAGATCATCACTGCCAGCGCCACGCCGCCCAAATCCCAATGCCAATGCACTTTGATAGAAATGCCAATACAATCGGATGAGC